GCGAGAGAGAGACAGAGACAGAGACACAGAGACAGAGAGACAGAGACAGAGAGACAGAGAGAGACAGAGAGAGACAGAGACAGAGAGAGAGAGAGAGAGAGAGAGAGAGAGAGAGAGAGAGAGAGAGAGAAACAAGCAGCCCACTCCCACTCGGGGAGTGGAAAACACTGACATGGATATTTAGGTTTCAAAAGAAGCCAGGTAAGGTGGCACACATCTGTAATCTCAGCACCCTGAGAGACTGAGACAGGAGTATTGCAAATTAGAGGCCAGTTTGAGCAATTTAGCAACTTAGCAACACCTTGTCTCAGAAAAAACAAAAAGGACTAGGTTGTAGTTCAGTGCAAAGGCTCTGGGTTCAACCCCAGTACAGAAAAAAAAAAAAAAAAGGAACAGCAATAGAACAGCCCGTGAGTCACCCGGCCTGGCCCTAAACTCCATGGTTGGCTCATCAATTTTCAGCCTTTGTTTTCTAATCATTTAAGGCTTTAGCTTTGTCTCCAAGTACAGCTGGGGCCACATAGTGTGTGGCTTGATGTGGAGCGTCACGTTGCTGTGCGGTCCTACATATTTGCAAAGTGCTTATTTTATCTATGAGTTATTTATAAACATGCTGTTTCTCAGTTTTATTTTTTAGCACAATCTCTCTTCTCCATCTAATTTAGGCACACCTCCTGTGTACCTGTGGTCCTCTGTGATCTTGCTCATAGCCCGCACGGTTACTGACATACTTAGTGTATTCCTCTCTCCCACTGTATTCTCCAGTTTCTTAGGTGTAAAATATGAATGAAAGCACCGAGGCATGATTGAGTGAGTGTCTCCTATCCACCACCCCTGAGGCACTCCTTTTCCTGTGTTCCCGGCAGCCCTGGCCGCACCTTCCTCTGACCTATGACCTCTGGTTCTGCTGTCCTAAGTCCCTCTTTTTCTCCACACCAGATCCACCCCTCTTTATTTTTTTTCTTTTGTCTTTTTGAGACAGGGTTTCACTCTGCAGTTCAGGCTGGCCTTGAACTCACTTGTAATCCAGGCTGGCCTCAAACTCACAGTGATCCTCCTGCCTCAGCCTCCCCCCAAGAGCTAAGATTACAGGCATGCACCACCATGCTTGGCTAGCACACTGAACTCCTTAACAGCTTCGTAAGGATCTGCTGGGGCATGCTACAAGCCTTTCACTGAACTAAGCATGAGGAAGGGCACAAAGATACATAAGGCCTTTTCTTGAGGAGCTCCCAGTCAGGTAAGGAAAACACATAAGCAAATGATAACACCACAAGAAAGGTGCTAAGGCGGAGATACATGCAAAGTGCTGACAGTCCTAAGAGGGAGGGCTTAATTCAGCCTGGGAGTCTCAAAAGGCAGGAAAGGAAAATAAAGGATCCTCAGACTCAGGACCTTGTCCTCTCCAGGCAGGTGCTTGTGCTGCTGAGCTACATCCTTGGCCAAAAGAAGCCTTTTGGCGCTGATGTCACCTCTCTGCCTGCCCTCCTCAGACCTACGAGCAGCGGAAGGTGGTGGAGTTCACCAGTCAGACAGCCTTCTTCGTCAGCATCGTGGTGGTGCAGTGGGCAGACCTCATCATCTGCAAGACCCGCCGCAACTCGGTCTTCCAGCAGGGAATGAAGTGAGCACCCCTGAAAGGTCCCAGTCTCCACCCCCTACCTCCCAGCACCCCCTCCCCCCACCCAGCCCTGAACTGAAGTCCTCAGTTTCCCCTGCCTTTTCCTCCCCACCTCAATCATACAAATGTTTCTTTCCAGAAACAAGGTCCTCATATTCGGGATCCTGGAGGAAACACTGCTGGCGATTTTTCTGTCTTACACTCCGGGCATGACTGTAGCCCTGCGAATGTTCCCACTCAAGTAAGCAAAAAGGTCTCCAGACGCAGGCACGATGGTCACCAGCTAGGTGCCGCCCAGATCAATGGGGCTGTGTCCAGTGACTGCTCTAGGACGGAGCTCCTTGCGGGGGCAGGCGACACTGCATCAAGGGGTCATAAGCATTAGATGTGTCCGTTTAGCTGCCTCCCAGTGTTTAGTAAAGAATCTTTCTCTGGGATGGCAGGTGGTGTGTTGGGCAAGGGTGTAAGCTGTTCGAAGCTGAAGTAACCGTAGCAAACAGCCCAATCCAAGCTTAGCTAATTCCACTGTATTTAGGCCAATGTGTTTTGATAGATGTGTGCATGAGTGAACATACTGAATTTCTCTCTGATGCCCTGTCTTGTTCAATTTCTGAGATTGCGTTGTATTGTTCTCATCTTGGTTTTGATGAGTTTTGTTTTTCTCTCTTTTTTTTTTTTGTGGAACTGGGGATTGAACTCAGATCCTTGCGTTTGCCAGTCAAGCGCTTATCCTACTGAGCCATCTCCCCAGCCCCATTTGATGAGTTTTGATTTTGGATTTGTTTGCCTTCATTTTGGTTTGTGTCTCAGCTATTCCTCTCTCGTTGCTGGTACAAATACCCGACACCCAAAATGAAGGAAGGAAAGGTTTAGTTAGCTCAGAGTTACTGGAGGTTTCAGTCCATACTTGGCTGGCTCCAAAGCAGAGTGGCACAGGGCAGAGAGCATCCATTCATGGTAGCAGCAAAGAGCAAGAAAGCAAAATAGAGGAGTGGCAGCAACAATGGCAAAAGAGAGGAAGTCTGTCTCTCTGTCTCTTTTATATTACATTCAGGCTATCCACCTCAGGCTGGGTCTAGCACTCACACCTATAAACCCAGCAGTACTAAGACCTATAATCCCAGTGGATCATGAGTTAACCTCAAACTCTAAAAGTCCCCACCCCATGACTGCATGAGGCCTTGGGGAGACAACTAGACCCAAACTATAAGTTTTGCTCTTTGAGACATGACCTTGCTATACAACCCAGGCTGGCCTCAAACTCACAACCCCTTGCCTCAGCCCCCCCCCCCCCCAAGTGCTGGGATTACAGGCATCCACCACTACAGCTAGGTCTCTTGTTCTAACATTAGATGTGCTTGTGAGCTTTTTAAATGTTAAAATCTACAGAGAAGGCAGACGCACCATACCATGTCCAGCCCCACTCTTGCGCCCTGCATAGACAGCCTCTGTTAGTGATCTCGTTTGTGTTCTTCTGGCTTGTTTCCTACGCATGTGCCTTGTTTTACTCATCTTTCCACTCCCCACAGCGTTTCACACAGTGCCTTATACAAGGTAGGTGCTCAGTCAATATTTCACAGGGGACGTTGGCATTGGCCTTGTATATGGACAGCACCATCTGAATCTCGACACTGTGTGCTATTTCGTGAGCTTGGCGAAGCAGGCAGCCATTCTGAGCCTGCCCTTTACCTGCAAAGTTTCAGTGATGCACACTTCCCAAGGTTGGGGATGTAGTTCATGGTAAGACATACACTTGCCATTTGTGAGGCTGGGGCACCCCCCAAAACAGACAAATAAATAGGAAACAAACAAAAACACCAAACCAGTAGTCTGGTTAGGCAAGCTTAGGCAGGCGAAGGGGACAACAGTTCAATCCCTGGCACCACATGCTGCACCAGCCCCCACCCCCAGGGCGGGCTGAGCTGGCCACAGAAAACAAATAAAAAAACAAACAAAACAAACAAAAAAACCCCACCAAACGAAACAAAACTCACCTGGCACAGAGCTGAGAATTAAACATAGAAATAGATATGGGTGGAAGGTCATGATGGGTACTTTTTTTTAATGTATTTGATATAGGGTCTCACTATGCAGCTGAGACTCATAGTAATCCTCCTGTCTTAGCCTCCCCAGTACTGGGATTACAGGCATACACCACCACGCCTGGTCTTGGTTGCGGCTTAGTGCACCTAAGGGATTGAACCCTGGCCCTGGTGCTTGCCTAGGCAGCTGCTTAGTCTGCTGAGCTATCTCACTGGCCCTCATGATGGCTACCTAATAGCAGCTTTATTCTTTTGTATTAGTATAAATAAAGAAGTAATGACAAACACAGGGACCATATCTGTCCACTCTTCTATATACCTTGGCTGTGGAGCTCGGCACCTCAGACTCTGACTCTTTATTCTGTGTGTGCATTTACCCGCTTTGCTCTGATCCCCTGAGCTCACCGAGGCCAAAGTTTATCACGTGGCCATTTTTATCTCCCCAGTGTCTAACACAGAGGTGGGGTAGCCACAACCACCGTTCAGTGGATGAGTGACTATTTGTCAGAGCTTGTATCTGTGGTGCATGTGTGTGTGCAGAATGATCCGTGGCTCAGGCTCGTGCTGTCCAGCATGACAACCACTCTCCATCTGTAACTGCTGAACTCTTGAAGTGGGTCTGAAGAACTAAATTTATTGAACTATAAGTTTATAGTTTTAATTTTTGTTCATTTAAAGTTGAAAAAATTAAAGCAGCATTAACCATTTGCCTATTAAACAGAGCTTTATTCTTTTGATTCTGCTACATCTCCCCTTAATTGTTGAACATTTAGCACCTGGGATGCAATGACTACACCATCAGTGTTAGAGACCTGTCAGATTTCCAAGGCTTTGGATGGGAAGGAGAGAGGAAACCATGTCACCAAGAGTGTTTCCAGTGATTACATACATTGAAGAGATAATATTTTAGTTAAATCAAGTAAAATCATTAAGATTGGGGCTGGAGAGATGGCTCAGTGGTCTAAAGCACCTACTTGAAACAAGCTTGGCAAAGCACAGGGACCGCTGTTCGATCCCCCAGCACCACATGCCAGCCAGCCCCGCCCCCTTGTGGGCTGAGCTGGCCACACACACACACAATAAATAAATGTAATAAATAATTAAAAAAATCATTAAGATTAATTTTACCTATATATTTTTACTTTTTTAAAATGTAGTTATCAGAAACTTTTTCAGTTTCTTTCGTGAGATGGTCTCACTACGTAGTTCAGGTTAGCCTGGAACACACGATGTAGTCTATGCTGGCCTCGAACTCATGGCCATCCTCCCACTTCAGCCCCCTGCACGCTGGGATGGTAGGCATGTACCCACTACGCCTGGATAGAAATAGTTAAACTTCAGGTGTGGCTCATATTGTAATTCATTTGGACAGTGCCATTGGCTTAGGCCATCTCTTCTTTCTTCTTCTTCTTCTTCTTCTTCTTCTTCTTCTTCTTCTTCTTCTTCTTCTTCTTCTTTCTTCTTCCTCTTCCTCTTCTTCTTTCTTCTTTCTTCTTTCTTCTTTCTTCTTTTTCTTCTTCTTCTGAACCAAGGATTGAACTCAGGGCCCTACACTTGCAGGCAAGTGCTTATTCCACTGAGTCATCTCTTCAGCCCCTATCTCTTCTTTTTGTCACCCAAAAGAATAACTATGGTCCTAATTTCTTATCCCAAATCCACCTTTCTGGTATCTAATTGTAGAAAGGGGTTCAGGAGGAGGAGAATGCCTCCTCTTATTCTGAAATATGGAAGAATATAAGAAATTCTGAAGTGCGGTGGTATACACCTGTAATCCCAGAAATTGGGAGGCTGAGGCAGGAAGATCGCTGTGAATTCATGGCCAGCTCCAGCTACATAGTAAGTTCAAGGCCAGCTTACATTGCATAGTGAGACTCTGTCTCAAAAAACCAAGAAGCAAAAAAGAAATTCTACTGGGTACCTTGTCTTATTCAACTTCCAGGCTTGTGTTTATGGGAGCTATATGAATGTCCCATGCTAGATGTCAGGGACTGTGACAGTTGGACCCATCCTGCTCTGGAGGTATAAAGCTTAGAGTCCACAGAAAGCAAAGGGCATCTTCCTCAGCAACACTGGACCTCAGAAGATAAATCCTAGGAACAGTGCATGCACCTCTGAAGGGGACCTTTATACCAGCCCTGGTGTGGTCCACTTTCTCCTTGGCAGCCCTGACCCCTGCAGCCTCTAGTACCCGTCATGGTCTCAGGCACATGGTGGGCACCACAAGGAAACCTGGGTTCCACTTGCGGTGCTCACCCTTCTTCGGTCTCCACAACGTCTGCTGCACTGGTCAACTGTTCCTCTCTACAGGATAACCTGGTGGCTCTGCGCCATTCCTTACGGCATTGTCATCTTCATCTATGATGAAGTCAGGAAACTAACCATCCGTAATCGGCCTGGTGGTGAGACTCCCCTGGCCCTGAGGCACTCTCCCACCTGCCTGACTCCTCCAGACCCACCTACTGGCCGCACCCACACCCCACGGCCTGCCTCTCCATGCCCAGGCCCAGTTTCTCCCCCTCAGCCCCACCCCCCACTCTGCTCGTGCTCAGTTCCACGCTCCAGACCACAGGCCTCCAGCTTCCTCCTCTCCCTCCTGCCATGTTGCCCTAGGTGCCTCCCTGGAGGCCTCCTTCTAGCTCACTCTGGTCTCTCTACAGGCTGGGTGGAGAAGGAGACATATTACTAAACTCAGCAGAGGAGCTTCGTGTGACAGGGGTCACAAGAACCAGGACTATGAGTCTGCCACATCTGAGGGAACAATTGAGTTGGGGGCAAAGACACTAGAAGAACTGCCCTGGAAGACAGAGACAGGCAATCCCGAGGTTGGACTCAGGGCATCATGGCGGGAAGGGGGTGGGCTGAGGGGAAGCCCAGCGGGGAAGGGGATGGGCCTGTTGAATCCAGTAGCCAGTCTAGACAGTAAATGTTTGGAATAGCCTTCACCTGGCTGAATATGTGACATCTGATTTTTGGGGAGTGGGGATTCCAGTATCTTCATAGTAGCCAAGCAAGGAAAAGCCTCCAGGAACCTGAGTGGAGGCCGGAAGAGGATCAGAATCAAGCCTCCTTGCCCCTGGAAGGTCTCCCCCATCTTAACGTTACTCTTGATCTTTTCAAGAGCAAGGAACATAGACCTGCTACAAAAGTACAGTTGGGGCTGGGTGTGGTGACTAATCCCAGCCTTTAGGAGGCTGAGGCAGGAGGATCCCATCAAGTGTGAAGTTGAGCTACCTGGTGAGACAACAAAACAAATGAAAGCAAAACTGTAGCTGGGATCAGAGAGTTCGGAAGAGGGTGACAAGAAAGGAGCAGCCATGCCTCACCCTGGCGGGAGGCCATAGCACTCACACCCATAGCTGAGGTAGGTGAGGCCAAACCCTGCAGACCCTGCTTTGGGCCTCTTCAGGCCCGCATCATGTAGGACTGCAGTGGAAGCTGTAAGAGGCCTGACTCCCCAGTGAAGAACCCTAGGTCCAAGAAGTCAAACAGCTTGGGAACAGGCATACAGTGGGGATGGTTGCTCCTCTGAGGCAGACTCATGGCCCTGCCTCTGATCCTGTCACCAGAGTATGCCAGTCCCATCCCTCAGCCTGTCTTCTCTAGTGCAGTCTTAGGACAGAGGCTGCACAAACTCTAGGCAGGCACTCTGCTCCCCAGCGGTGCCCCTGTGCTGCCTGGCCCCAGGGGGAGTGGGAAGTCCCCGGCAGCCTCTCCCCTGCTGGCCTCCTCTCCTCCCTCTCCAGTGTGCCCACTGTGGCCTCCACTCTGCCTCATAGCTCAGTCCATCCTCGGGCATCATTCAGAGCAGTGGGTTGGGTCCACCCATAAGTGTACAGAATGAGAGAAATGCTCAGGAAAGCTGCAGTGGGGGTGGGGACACCATCAGCTGTCACCAGGGACAAAGGACAAGCATGAACTGCATGCTGTACATGGGGCACCACCAGTAAATTCACACACAGCTATTCTTACCACACCATCCTACTTCACAGATGAGGAAACCAAGGTCTGCCTGAATTCACAACTGTGCTCCTCACCTCTTTATCTTACACCAAGAGCTGGACCAAAACACAAATAGAAAATGAAAACCAAATACAAGATAGGGTGGAGGAAGGGCCACAGATGAGGCTGGAAGAGGAGACCAGGGAGGAAGGCCAATCCTTCAGCAGGGATAGCTGGACTCTCTTTCCCCTGTACCCGGCCCCTCTCTGATCTCCCTCCCTGCAGTGCCCCTATGTCTTGCAGCTCCAGGTCTCCTGGGGACAAGCTGTATCAGTCTGGGGTCCTTCCCTGCTGCTGACAGGGCTGAACCAGACCCTGGAGGATGGAGGGGCCAGGAGGTATGCAAGTGAGGTGGGGAGGGGGAGAGCCAGCAGCCAGCTTCTCGAATTTCAGCGGCAGGAGCTTTGGGTGTCTGGTGGGTTAAAAATACAGAGGCCCCAACTCAGGGTCATTTGATACTGGTGACTGAGGCATTAAGACTAAGGGGCTGAAGGCAGGGGCCTAGTGGGTAGAAAATGGAGCTGAAAGTAGAGAGCAGAGCATTCGAGAGAGGAGGGGAGTGGAGTGCAGGAGTTGGAAAGGATGGGAATGGAACTACAGCCAGAAAGAGCAACGAGAGGGGGTGAGACAACAAGGGCCCAGGTGCCGTGGGCTCCACACACCTCAGGTACCAAAGTCCAGCTGGGATGGAGCAAGTCACATTCCAGGGTCTCCACCCAAATGCTCACCCTTCCCCAGAAGCTGCAGAAGGGAGAAACAGGTGTGGGTGTCATTTGGGGCATTATTCTGGGCAGGCCTGCCCATCTTCTCATCTCTGGCAGTGGGCTCTGGCATACCAGCTGCCTCCTGGGAGAGCAGAAGATGGGATCCTGCCGTCTCCTCAGCTCTAACGTGCTGTGCTGGGGCTGGCTAGGGCCTCTCCTGCTATGGTGACAGCTGTCCTGCTTGGATCCACTTCTGCCACACTCTTGAGATTTTCTGCAGCTTTCTTTACTGAGCTGAGCCAGGGCTGCCCCACGGGAGGCTAGAAGCAGTACTCTAGTAACTTAATTCCACGGTCCATGCCCCTGCCTGGTTGCAAGATAAATACTGTTCTCCCCAGAAGAGAGACTTTAATCCAATGTTTCTCTGTGGGTCTCCCTCATGCCTCAGTTTACCTATGCTTGGTAAGAACCACAGAAAAGGTCCTTCCAGGTGTCCAGAGCTGAACTCATGCACTCTGTTCTCATCTAAGGCTGGAATCCATCTGCGACAGCCCTGGTCCCAGCTCCGCTTTGGGTCTCAGTGGCCACACTTCACCCACAGCCTTGCTTCAGGGAGCAGGGCCACCCCTTCGCATTTTCTTCATATTCTTTTGTACCCTCAGTTTTTATAACTGACCCTTTCTGTCCTGTCAAAGACACAGGAATAAATAGTGACTGCTAGCTGTCTTTGGAACTCTGTGCAGCCTGGGCAATCCTGGGGAACCCACCAAGCTCTAGAAAGCCCAGTCCCACGGAAGCAGAGCAGACACTGCTTGCAGGAGGTGGCAGCCAAATGCCATCCCTCCCTCATGGTGGACCTTATGGGCACAGAAACCCCAAATCTGCATCCCTCCTCACAGGATGGGATCGGGGCCAGCCCTGTCCTCCCCTGTGCTCCTGGTTTAGGAGTGTGGAGTGAAGTAAAGGAAACTGGCTGGAGCTGAGCCAGGTTGCCAGTCTTGGACTCAGCTCCATCTTTTATTCAGAGAATGATCTCATCCCTGGTCCTGGTTCTTTAAAGGGAACCACAGGGGTCTCTTTCCTGCAGCCTGGACTGCCCTTTTATTCCCCCCTTCCCTTCTCCCCCCAGGATAAAGAAACAGACTTTACTACACGAGACTCTCAGATTTTAGGACAGAGAGGCAACACCCCTCGGTCCCCTTTGGCCCTGTACAATCAATTTCAGCTCAGGTGCAGGGTGATACCTCCTCTCTCTACCCACTCTTTCCCTCTACCCCTGCCCTGCTCACTCTCCATGATCCCCAGTTACCCCTACACCACCCCTCCCCCAGCCCCAGCTTCATTACCTCCGACTCATCTGGTCTTATTTTTAGATCCCTCGTCTCTCCCTTTTCCTTTCTTAATATGGCGATGAGCTCTTGGGCCAGCACGGGGCCAGGGGCTGAGGAGCCCTGGACACTGGGGGAGGGGAAGAAGGAGCCACAGGGAGCCTAAGGGAGAGGTGTAGGAGGTGGAACCATGCTGGCCCTCGCAGAGTTGTCCTGGCCTCAGAAGGTTACCCACCTCTCCTGCCAACCACAGAGACATATTTAGACAGGACCAGGTGGGGACCAAGTGATGCCAACTTCAGGGGGCAGCTCCAATTCTCTCCCCGCCCCCTGCTCCTAGTCCTCCTCCTGACCCTTTTTCTCTTGGCCCTGTCGGCAGTTTCTCTGGGACCCAGCAGTGTCTTCTGTCCACTGCTCTGGGCCACTCCCCACCCCACCCCCACCTGGAGCCCCTAACTCAGGATCAGCACCCAGGGGCCCCTCCCTCCCCTAGCTAACCTCCTCTGGACCAGGAGAGCCGACCCAGATCCCACTACCTCCATGAGCACTGCAGATAGGATGGGGGCCAGAGCAGTGCTGCTATTTCTGCTGGTGCTAGGGACACCCAGGTCAGGGGTCCAGGGGGAGGAAGGGCTGGACTTCCCTGAGTATGATGGTGTGGACCGTGTGATCAATGTCAACGCAAAGAACTACAAGAATGTGTTCAAGAAGTATGAGGTGCTGGCTCTCCTCTACCATGAACCCCCTGAAGATGACAAGGCCTCACAGAGACAATTTGAGATGGAGGAGCTGATCCTAGAGGTGAGTGAGGGACTGCAGGCCTACCACACCTGCCCGGCCCTCCCTTTGACCCCTGCTTTACATCACATATAAGATCACTGAGGGTGGGATCTCACACAAGGATAGTGCAGCAGGGCCTCTGTGTGGACCAACGGACCCAAGAGCCATGGGACTTCAGCCCCAGGAACCCGATGTTAGGTACTGTAGAAGGGGTGCAGTCGGGCATTGGTGGAAGCTGGTGGCACCTACCAGGCTTGGCTAAGAAGACAAAAAAGGGAGAGGGAGGTCCTGGAGGGCCAGGGGCGAGGCCAGGGCTGCCACGCAGTCCTGTGCACAGCACTCTTCCCCCAGTGCTACTGTCCTGGCAAAAACCTGTTCCTGCACTGTATATTTAGGGGCTGCACCCCAAAGAGCGCAAACCTGACCTTAAATGTAAACACTCCCAATGTCTCCTCTGCCTATCACAGACTGGCTAAATGTTTCAGTACCTGCTTGAACCCACCAGGCTTCTCACAGGCCTGCTGACCCCTCTGCCTCGCTCCTTGTTCCCTAACTCCCCATTATCAAGCTGGATGCCTTCACTGGGAATTTTTCTCCTGGATATTTTTCCCACTTTTTGTAGGAAGGGATTCCTCATCCCCAATCTGACTTCCGGTCTAAATGGGGGGGGGATGATTATGTTCCCCCCAGAGCCAGTCATGTTGGAGTTTCTCTAAGTTTCCTTAGGCCCTTCTTGGGCTCAGTAGTGCAGATAGGCCCCAGTTCATCCCAAGCTGGGAGCATTTCAGGGTGAGACACCAGGACCACAGCTCCTGTTTCTGAGCGTCCCTGCCTGGCACTGGAACCTGCGTCGGATTAATGAGCCAAGTATTTTTATCATGAGTGCACAGTATCCCCAGCCATCCACCTGCCATCCTCCTCCCTTCCCATCCCTCTAAGAATCACGATGCCTGAGGGCTGGGTGGGGCAAGGCTGCGGGCTGTGTCCACCACAGCAGAATGAA